TATGGTCCAGAGGATAAAGCCCAATTTGAGTAAACCTTGAGGGTGATCTTTGCTTCTTCTCTTTCACAACCAAATTTCACCCTCCCTTTAATAACCCTGTTAATAATTGGATTGAATTTTATTGTAGAGCTTTCTTACAAAATTGCCAGTCAGCTGAGCTGAGCGCAGGACAAGAAAGCTGAGGAGAAGATGCCTTTCTATCTTCGGAAGCAGCCCTTTGACATTCCTCCACCCACCGAAAAGGACTGGATTAAAAAAGATGATGAAGAAGATTTCTTCCTGAATGACCCTGATGAACTCCTAGACTCCTTGCCTCAGCCATTCTGCATGATCAATAAGATATTGAAATTCTTGTTTGAAAGAGCCTGGGAACGGATTGAAGGAAGGCACCAGTTACAAGAGACAAGGAAGCAAAGTTTCACACCGTTAGTGTGTCACCCTTCAACTAATTTCATGGTAATCTAAGGCTCTTCCAGATAAAATAGCCCAAGGGAGACTTCATATGTGATATTGGCACCTTATTGTTTTTCCTCTACAGTGTCATCCTCTTGGACAGCCAAGCTGATTTTCTTCTGGCTCAGCTGTGGTATAATTTCAGTGAGATATGAACTGGACGTTACCACAAAGACATACCAAATCTAAAAATTTCTAGATCATTCCTTCCCCCCAGCAGAGACCCCTTATTTGTAATTCCATCAAATCCAATAAAATTACCAAAGGTTTATTAATGTTTTTAAAGAGCCAGAGAAGTTAAAGCATCAATATGGGTCCATTTAAAAGCCAGATGAAATAAAAAATATTTTACCCTCCTTATAAAGAGATTATAGCATAGGGGGATTGGGATTATGATGACATTAATATTGTACGTTCACATTTCTGAGGTGGACATTGTGTTCTCTTCCTTTTAAATCTTCCCAGGTAGCAGGGAGGGTAAACTGCCTGACAGCTTCTGAAGGGTACATCTTTATGGGGCATTCCACAGGGATTTCTGTCTTCAGCACAATCATCTGTGAGAACCTTTGTACTTGGGAGGCAAGCAGACTCGAGATTTGCACCATTCAAGTGTCAGACCTTGGTGGTGCCTCCCATCTCCTTGGGACAGTGGATGAGATGGGTAGGTAGCTATGCATTTATACTCATTAAGAAAGAACGGTTATTTTGCTGATTAGTTTCACAACTCGTTATGGGTGTCTTCCACAAAGTCTTGCAAGTTGAGTCTCAGCTTCTCCTATTTAGTAGCTATGGAGAATAAAGCTCTTTTCTTCAAACAGAAGAGAGTTTCCATGATTTCCATTTATCTTAGAGTTCTCAGGCTTGCCAATCAAAATATAGTTACTGAATAAATAAAGTCTGGGGTTATGCCAATGGACATGAAGGAAAAATTACCCTCCCCCAGAAACACTCTTGTTTTTGTTTTCTAGGTTTTGCTCGTCTTTTTTGTTTTGTCAAGGACAACCTCTTGCATATAAAATCCATAAATGAAGTGGTGAGTTTGTCTAATATTAGCTGCTAGTCCTTATATTTATCTACCTGTTAGTTTTCAGTTGTCTAAATCCTCCCTTTTTGAACATCCCAGTTATTCAAATCCATTGTGCGGTACCCATATTGTAGTAATCTTAAAAATCTCTTTATATGAAGATTTATATATGTGATTTATCTCTACCTATGATTCTTATTTTTTTTATTCCTATTCCATACATATGAAATATAGTCGTTTGAGGAGATGGGCGGTGACAAATTCGATACATAAATAAATAATAAATATCATTTGATGTGAAACTCAGTGTGAACTATACCTTGGTATAGTACTCTATTTAAATAGATGTTAGTAATAAAGCAAGTATGCTTAGCATTTCTGGCCTAGTTCTCTATATGTTTAGTTGGGAATAAGTTCTATGTAACTAAATGAAGCTTCTGAGGAAGCAGCCCCATGGACAGCCTGAATGTTAAATGGAATCAACATACTCTGTGTACACTTCAGGCAGGATTTCATAGATACGAGTCAAAGAGATGTGCTGTGCAATGCTATGCATATTTCCTTAAAAGTTATTTCTCTGGTCTGGAACCTAGGTCCCAGTGAGTGTGTTTAGGGTTGTAGCTTTAAAGATAAATTTTCCTTTGAACTGAGCTCAAGCAGCAAAGAGTTAAATTTAGCTTTACCTCTCTGGTGTCATATACCAGTCATATTCATGGCAATAAAACAAGTGGTTTGCTGATGCTCGGATGCTTTTTTCAACTTTTTGATCTAATCTACAACCCTGGGATTTCTTGATGGACCTCTGTCCAAATACTAACCAGCTTTGATGTTGCTTGGTTTTTCAAGCTTGCTTAATCTCTCACTATGATTAAAGGGATTTAAATGCCTTGAAATTTGATTGGGCTATGTTGAGAAGAGCTAGTAATTGTAAAGCATTTGTGCTAAGGATCCATGACTGAAACAATCGTTTGTTCTGACATGATTATCTTTAAGCCCCTGTAGCTGACATAGGCTCTGTTGCTC